GTGAGGGAGGAAGGGCATTTGTCTAGGATGGTGACGGAGAAGATGGTGAACAGCGCTCAGATTCAGGAGAGAGAAAGCACTATGTATGTGTGCATCTACGTTTGATGTGGTGTGACTGGACAAAAGACTGTGATGCATCGCTAATAAATCCAGTGTGGGGGACCAGTGACCTTTCTGCTCACACTCTTCCTGGTCTCCAGGTCTAGGGCAGGGCCCCCTGGAACGAGGGTCTCAGATCTGCTTTCAGGTAAGAGGGCCAGAGAAGTCCTTCACGACAGGCTCGCCCAGACAGGTGCGCCAAGGTCAAAATGACCTTTTTTCTGTTCTGAGGCTTCCTCAATTTCCACGGCACATATGGTAGGATATTGTTTCTTGAGGCCTTCCAAGATAACATCCACACACTCCCCACTGCCTGTACTCCAAGTGAAGGGGCTTGGGACAAGCCATCCCAAAATATGCCTTTTGACCTAAAACTTATTTTAAGCTAAAGGCATTTTTTTTTCTTTTTTTGGAAATAGCATCTCTCTATGTAGCCCGGGCTGACCTCAAATTCTTTATACTGTAACAGGCACTTAAAAGCTGCTTTTGCTGAACAACACTGACTGCTTACTTGGGCCCAGGGATTACTGAAAGCAGGAGAAAAACTTAACATCCCTGTCTCCATTTTGTATCTGTGCCCTTTGCTCTGAGCCATTCACCAAGCCATAGCAAAACAGCTGTCGGCAGGCAATATCTGTGAAGGAAGCAGGGCAGGTATGAGGCAATAGGGAGTGGTGGAGACTATAGCAAAACGAATGCTGCAAGCTCAGTACAGCAGCTACACAAGAGAGTGTGGCTGCACGGTAGTCAAATAATCCAGTGTGTGTGTGTGTGTGTGTGTGTGTGTGTGTGTGTGTGTGCGCTCTAAGACACTTGTATGGTCTGGCAGAGTGGCTCAAGCCAAAAAAGTGCCTGCCTAGCAAGAGTGAAGGCCTAAATTCAAATCCCATCCCACCAAAAAAAAAAAAAAAAAATACACTTGCACAAGTTGAGACCTGGGTCCACACCACCAGCCTTGTAATAAGCCCCACATCTTAGACACTGTCTCTCTCCTTGCGGCTCTAACTTTTCTTCCTCCAAAGACTCTTAGGTTTCTAGCAACAGGCCTGGTCTTCAACAAAATGCTAAAATGCTGGCTCAGGCCCCGGGAGAAGGCCGGAAACACGCACACCCGTCGCAGATACATCCTCCTTGGAGACTCAAGTGTGTTCCTTCCAGCCAGCTGCGTGCTCTGCATCCCCTCGGGAGCCCACAGGGAAAGCGACTCAGCCCAGAACCCCCGCCCCTGCCGAGGGTTCACAGGCTGGCTGTGTTCCCTGAGATTTCCTGCCTTGCCCTGAGAAGCTGTGTTCAGCTTCCAAGAGCCACTGTGGGATCCCAAGTCATCGGGAACAGACAGGGTTGGGGACTCAGTTTCCCCACACCCAAATACAACCCTGCTCTTGTCCTTCTACAACTGAGATATGACCCACCAATCCAAACTGAATCCCCTGCGTTTGTACACACTGGTGTAACCATTTTCTGTGCACTCGATAAAGGATTTATAGACATCACTGTAGGCCAGTGCTGAGGAACAAAGGTGACTGAAATTTCAGGGCACCATTCCCTACACTTGATCTTCTCAAGTTTATCCAAAGCTAGACACTTTTTTTTTTACAAGATTCTGCTCCGAAAGCACATCCAGCATGCAAACTGTGGCTTCTACACACCACCGTCCAATAAAGTAGCCAGATCCAAATCTGATTTGCCAATGAGTGAGGTCAGAACAATCTAAAAAATATAGTATTGGATTATAACTCAAAGTATACGATAAGTATCTGTGAGCCCTGGTGACAGAAACAAATGGGGAGTAAGTACCTAAGTACTTAAAGAAATGTCTTTCTTCCATCAGAACTGCAAATAACGGACAGGCATGGTGGCTCACACCTGTAATCCTAGATACTTGGGAGGCTGGGATGGGGAGGACTGAGGTTCAAGGCCAACCTGGGCAAAAACTAGAGGTGTAGCTCAAGCTGTAGAGTGGCCGCTTTGTAAGTGCAAAGCCCTGAGTTCAAACCCCAGTCCCACTAAAAAAAAAAAAAAAAAAAAAGAGTTGCAAATAACATATGCAGATATCCCTGTATCTGAAGGAGGTGGAGCTAATCTCCCATCCTTGGGTGTTGGCTGGACCGAGTGACCCTTCCAAAGGACCTCACAGCAAAGCGGAAACATGAGTAATTTTATGGCTGGGACCAGCAGACACCACTCAGCTAAGTGACAAAGGCTGACCTGCCGGGGACATCATGCATTTTCTCATTTGACAAGATAAGAAGGGACTTCACCTTTTGGGGGTTTCCTTACCCCAACTGCATAATCCCCAACCACGAGAAAGCATCAAACCAAAATTCGGGAGCATTCTACAAATAACAGTAAACACTCTTAAAATTGTCAAGGTCATGAAAATAAGGAAAGACTGAGAAACTACAGGACCAGAAAAGCTTGGAGAGGTGTGAGGACCCGGTACAGCATGGCGCCTGGATCAAATCCTGGAGCAGGAAGAAGACACGGTGGAGAAGTGGCCAAACTGAAATAAACTCTGGGGGACAGCAATGTGACAATAACAACTTTCTCATTTTGACAAATGCCCCCAACAAATGGATATGCTAGATATTCAAGGGAACCGGGTAAGGGGTACAAGGTGACTGTTGTCTTTGCAACTTGACTGTGAGTCCAAAACTATTGTGAAAGAAGCAGTTTAAGGAAAGTCTTTCGTTTTGATTAAAGAAGGAATACACGTTCACGTAGAGAGTGTGTAAACGTCACAAAATAAGAATCCAGCTACTGCTGTTGATGACTCACTCTGGTGACATTTCGGTGGATTACAGTACAATCTTGCTTCCTGAATATATATATTTGCGGTACTGGGGTTTGAACCCAGGGCCTCACGCTTCCTAGGCAGGTGCTCTACCACTTGAGCCACACCCGCAGTTCCGCCCCGCTCCTACCCTGCTATTGTTTGTTTTTAGACAGGGTCCTGTGTTTTTGTCTGGGCTAGCTTCAGATTGTGATCCTCCTACCTCTGCCTCCTGAGTAGCTGGGATTACAGTTGTGTGCCACTATGCCTAGCCCAGGGTTGTATTTTGTCACAAGAAGCCATCGGAAGTTATGACCAACAGCAGAAAGGGCAGTTTAAGTAAATTATAACAAATCAAGCTGTCAACATTAAGTAGTTACAAAAACGCTGTTTCCCAACTGTTCAGTGCTTAAGGAATGCACTTCTAAGACTAAAATCATAGGACACACAATTTTGATCATAATCTGTTCTTGATTGTGTCAGAAGTACAAAGGAGCCAGGTGCAGTGGCTCACACCTGTAATCCAAACTACTTGGGCGGTAAAGATTGGGAGGATGTTGGTTTGAGGCCAGTCTAGGCAAAAAGTTAGTTGAGACTCCATCTCAATAAGCGTGGTAGTATTGTCTGTGGTCCCAGCTACAAGGGAGGCATAGGTAGGAGGATCGCAGTCTGAGGCTGGCCCAGGCAAAAACACAAGACTCTAGCTGAAAAATAACCAAAGCAAAAAGGGAAGCACGAAACCCTGAGTTCAAACCCCAGTGCCACCAAAAAAAAGAAAGAAAGAAATTTAAGGTTCTTGATGCATATTGCCAATTTGCCTTCCACTGTAAGTGGGTTATTTTGTCAATGGTGTATTTAGGATACCCACCTCCTGAGGGCTTTCTTCTTCATCCAACTTACCTTGACAGGATTGCACCCTGCTGAATATCCCCACTCTTACAACAACTCCTGCAGTTCCTTGACATCACTTCTTCCGGTTCTCTCTGTCCCTCTGTTCCTCTCTTGGTCCTCAGCCTGCACAGTGTCACATTCTCTGTTGAATCTTCAAGACCTTCTGAGCCAGCTCATCCATTCAGATGCTTCTGCTCTGTTCTCTTCTGTATTTCAGACACAGCCTCAGCCTCTCTTTTTCATGACTGACTAATACTCCATTGTATGCATTCACGGTTTGTTTTCCCCACTCAGCTATGGAGGACATTTGAGTTGTGAACACCTTTTCATTATTGTGATCAGTGTTCCCTGAACACTCACATGTAAGCATTTGGGTCCCTGCTTTCATTTCTCTTGAGTGTAACCTAAGGGTGGAATTGCTGGGTTGCCAGGTCATTTTATATCTAACTTTTTTGAGGAATGTCACTCCATCACTGACTTCCTCAACCCTCACTGGCCTAAAGAATTGATTTTGCCTTTTTTTTCCCCACAGCATTTATAAAACACCTTCTCTTGCCCCACAGTGGTGACAGTCACCTCTACCTCTGACCTCATTTCATAGGCGAGATGCCCAGGTGAGGAACTTGTGCAAGGCTACGAGGCAACAAAACCGGGCTCTGGATTCTGGATTCCAACTTACTCAGTGCCCCTAAATGGCCGGCAGGAAGGAGAGGGAGGGAGAGAGGACTGAAGGAGAGAGGAGGAAGGCAGAGGGAGGGAAGGTTGGGAGGGAGTGAGGAAGAGAGAGAGGGGGGAAGGAAGGGAGAGAGGGAGAAAGGAAGGAGGGAAGGAGAGAGTAAGGAGGGAAGGGAGGGAGGGAGGAAGGAGGGGAGGGAAGGAGGAAAGAAGAGGGGAAGGAGGGAAAGGGGAAGGGAGGGAGGGAGGGATGAAGAAAGGGAAGGAGGGAGGGAGAACGGGAGAAGGAGGAAGCCTCTTCCATTCCCGGGGACCTCCCCGCCTCGCTGCAGGCTCCATCCCTGAGCCCTGATAGTCCATCTCTTCCCAGCTCCCCCTTCCAGGGCCTCCCCAGAAAACACTTGCCTAAGGAATGAACTCCAGGATCTTTGATTCGGGGACATTTATTTTGGCTCTTTATATATTCTTTTCATGAGAGGAGGAAAGGGAGAAAATGACACTTTCTTTTCTTTTGCTTTTCAGCCTTCTCCAAAGTTAATGCGGTTGAACAAACGCCTGCAGCTCAGGCGCAGGGACGCGGGCAGGTGCAGGAGGCGGGGCCGGAGCAGGGGGCGGGGCCGGCGCTGGGGGCGGGGCCAGCGCCGGGAACAAAGGTGGCGCACGCGCCTGAGCAGATGGCCGGGCAGGTGTAGCCCACCAGGCGAGGCGTGCTGGGGAAGGTCTTGCGCATGCCCAGGCACTTCTCCTTGTCGATGCACAGGGTGTTGGCCTTGATGGCCAGCTCGTGCTCCAGCCGGGACTTGGTCATCACCAGCAGCTGCAGCGTGTCCTGCGTCTCCCGCAGCCTCAGCCGGAGGGTCTGCAGGGTGTCGTCGATGGTGTACACCTCGTTCAGGAGCCTGGGGTGAGGGCAGAGGACAAGGCACTGTTAGCTGAGCTGGTCAGCACAGGCACACCTGCTGTGGGTCAGAATGGTGACCGGCAGGTGGGAGACTGTGGTGAGCGAGTCAGGCCAGGCAGGTGAACCAGCAGACGTGCACATGTCACCAAGGGTGGCAGGTATAAAACAAGAAGCAAGCCAGGGCAGTGGCTCAGGCCTGTAATCCCAGCTACTCAGGAGGTGGAAATCAGAAGGATCATGGTTTGGGAGGCCAGTCCTGGAGGGGGAAAGTTTGTGAGACCCCCATCTGAACCAATAAAAGCTGGGCATAGTAGAGCACATCAGTCATCCCAGCCAGGTGGGAATCATAAATAAGACAATGGGTGTCCAGGCCAGCCAGGCTATAAATGTGACAACTAATATCTAAAGCCAAAAGGGCTGGGGTCATGGCTTAAGTGGTAGAGCACCTGCCTAGCAAGTGGGACTCCTTGAGTTCAAATCCCAGTACCTCCTAAAAATAAAAGAAACAGACAAGCTGGTGTTCCTCAGTAAGTTAAACTTGGGACTTACAGGCCTGAGCGATTCCATTCTTAGGTCTGTACCCAAAAGAAAGAGTGTCCAACCCAAAGGTGTACAGGATACTCACAACAGCCAAAATCCCACTGAATGAACAGCCTAGTTACAGTGTGAACTATTACTCAGCCAGAACTGAGAGGAACTTATGTGTATTTTATTGGTTGGTTTGTTTGAGACAGGGTCTCACCCTGTCGCCCACCCCCTGGAATTTGCTGTGTAGCCAGGCAGACTTGTGTAGTCTCAGCCTCCTGAATGCTGAGATGACAGGCTTTTCCTACTATACCCAGCTGTTAGGTATATATATGTGTTGTTTTGCAGTACTGGGGATTGAACTCAGGGCTTCCCACTTAATAGGCAAACACTTGAACCATGCCCCCAGTTCTTCCTGCTTTATTTTTTATAAGTTCTTACAGTTTTGCCCTGCCAGCCCTGAACCACCATCCTCCTACTTTCTGACTCCAGAGTAGCTTGGACCACAGGCATGTGCCACTATGCCTGGCCCTGTTATAAATATTTTAAACAGGGCTTGGGGCTTTTTGGAAGCTGGGGCTTTGCAGGTAACAAACAGGCCCACCCTCATTTACATATGGGGTCAGGTGCAATAATGGCTCTTGGAGTCTTGCTCAGGCCTCCCTTACCAACTGGGGGCCCGTCACCAGCTGCTATGAGTGTGTTGGCTGCTTGTGGCTCATAGGCCCATGAGAGCCACTGGCCTGGGAGGACAGTCCCCTCCCAGCAGCCCATAGGTACAGCTTGTGTCCCAGAGTCTCCCAAGCATCAGGCTGAGGCCAGCTCCCTTAGCCTACTTCCTCATGCCCCTTCGTCCCAGGCTCTGGCTCTGTGGAACTTTCCAGAGGCATGGGAAAGGCCTTCCTGAGGAGGGGACTTCAGAGCAGAGAGGATAATGAGCAACCCATGTGAGGATGGAGGGAGCGCTGACCAGTGGAACCTTCTGTGAAGCTGGCCCAGTGTGGAACCTACTAGCTTCGTGATGCTAATGAGCACATGAACTGTGGCCACTTGCCAAGTACGCCTGTAATCCCAGCACTTGGGAGTCTGAGGCAGGAGGATTGAGAGTTCCAGGCCAGCCTGGGCTACATAGAGAGCTTCCAGCCAGCCTGGGGCGACATGGCGAGGCCCTGTCTCAAAGAAAAACAAAAAAATCGTGGCCACTCGATAAACTTATTTTTAACTGTATTCATTTCACTTAACATGTAAAGTTTCAATTTATTTAATTTAAATGTAAATGAAATAGCTGCTAGTGGCCACCAAACTGAACAGTGCTATTTTTTTTCAGTGGTAGGGATTGAACTCAGAGCCTTGTACATGTTAGGCAAGTGTTCTACCACTGAGCTTCATCCCGTGGGCTAACAGTCCACATCTGTAATCCCTTCCACTTGGGAGTCAGAAGTAGGCAGGAGGATTGAGGTCCAGGGCAAAGTTAGTACAAAACTCTATCTTACCACAAGATAAAAGCAAAAGGAGTTGGGGCGGGGGGGGGGGTGTAGCTCAAGTGGTAGAGCGCTAGCTTAGCAAGTTGAGGTCCTGAGTTCAAACCTCAGTACCCCAGGAGAGAGGAGGAAAGAGAGAGAGAGAGAGATGCAAAATCAGGGGCTTGAAGTCTGTTGCTTGTGCACTGGAAGCCGTGGGCGGGCGGGGAGTGAGCAGTGGAAGATGACGGTGTCTGTGCTCTGTGCTGGTTGGGGTCTGAGGTTGACCTCCAGTCTGCCCTGTGAAGGGCAAGAGCAGAAGCCCGTGGGTGGTGGAGGTTACTGTGATGTCCAGGTACAGTGGCAGGATAGCGTCCCCCAGAGATCTGTCCAGGCTGTAACCACGAGGCTTGCGAACGTGAGTTTAGAATAGGGGTCTTTGCAGATGTCCTTAACATGACATCATCTTGAATTTAGGACAGGCCCTAAATTGCTTATGAGAAAAAGGTGAAGAGGTTTTGAGGCACAGAGACACGTAGGGGACAGTGCCGTGCGATGGAGGCAGAGACAGGAGTGGTGATCCGTGGCCACCAGAAGCAGGGAGAGGCATAGGACCCCTATCGCACACTCACAAACCCCCTTTCTGGGTAGACGAGCGCTTCCCCCCACTCCTGTTGGCAGCAGAAGCAGGTCTCCCTAGCTAAGCAGGATGGGTGGGTCCATCCAGTGAGGCAGGAGATGGGAAAATGGGGGAACCCATGCCTCTTCTAGGGGGCCAGGAGAGAGAAGTGGGGCAGCCAAGGCCAAGGCCATGTCTCTGGACTGAAGCTAAAGTCTCCTTGGCTTTCAGGGCACAGCAGGAGGGCTCCCTGTGCGCAGAGCTACAAAGCATCCCTTGTTGGGGCAGGCCAGAAGATGTGGTACCCAGGGGGCCTGCCAGGGTTGGGGAGCTACAAAGCTGGGTAGCCCCTGCCTGGCAGTCATGGAACTAGATGTCCCAATTAATAGAGGGTCCATTTGTCACATTCAAGGGTCGCTGGGCTTTCCTGAGAGCCCCCTCCTACCTCCCTGGATCTCAGAATTTCTCTCCATCCCCACCCCTCGTCTCCTTGGTTTCCAGCACTCACTTGAACTGCGCAATGTCTCTGCACAGCTCCACATTGGGTCGCCGGCTCCGGCACTCCAGCCTTGTCTGTGCCACCTTCAGCGGGCACTCCTTGGCCATGATAGCCCTCTCTAGCAGTGTGATGGTGTTCTCCGCCTGGAAGATCTCCTGCAGCGTCTGTGGGGACCAGACGGCAAGGCTGTCACCACCTGCCAGGACTCTCCTACCTCCTCCCCAAGAGGCCTGGAGGAAGCTGAGGCTAGTTCAGTCAGCCTCCAGGCCAGTGCTTGAAATGCTCCTTCCTCAACCTTGGACACCCGCAGGGCCAGGCAGGGACCTCACTCTGGTCACCATGATGCTGTGAATGGCGGAGATGGGCAAGTATCAAGGCTGGCTTTGTTTTCCAATCTCCAGGATCACTGAAGCCAATCATTCAGGAGGAGAAAAGGGAGGGAGGGAGGAAGGGGAAGGAAGGGAGGGAGGGGGGAAGGAAGGAAAGAAGGAAGGGAGGGAGAAAAGGAGGGAGGAAGATAGAGAGGAGGAGGAGGAGAGAAGTCTCTAAAATGTTCTGTTTATTCATAGAAGTATTTTTCCCATATAATATCACTGTCATGCCCTATACAACTGATGGATATTCAGATCCCAGCAGGGGCAGCAGGGAGTCAGCTGGGGATAGAACTCTTCCACATGGGGAGGCAGTGGAGGTTTCATAGGTGTGAACAGGGGAAAAACTCATCACTGAATTCATCAGGCTGTGATACCTCCTTTTCTTCAGGTATAAGACTGTTATACCTCCGTAGAAAATAAAGCAAAACTCAGAAAAAGGTCACAGGAAAAGATTGGCATGGTATTGACATTTGTGTGGGATCATGGGAGTCTTATGTGACTCTCTGTACTTCTGGGGTTTGAAGTTCTCCATAATAAAAAATAAAAATGAAAGAACCCATAAAGAATGGGCTGGCTCTTTACCAGAAGGAACTTGACCTTGTAGTTGGCCAACCATGAGGTCTCCTGGATGAAGGCCATGGCACTAAATGGACGTTGCCTCACTGTGACAGAAGCATCCATTCTCCACCCTAGCTCTGTGAGCAGTTCTGGATTTCATGACATCTGTCTCCTGTGAGAAGACTCTTTGTGGGGTGGGGGCGGGGACTGTGCTAACGCCCCCTCCAGACCTGGGGGGATCCAGTAGTGAGAACGCCATGGCCTGTCCTCATGAGCTTAGAAGTGACGCCATCCACATGGCCCAACGCCAGGAGGATGTGCTGGAATTATCCATTTCTCTGAATAACTTAATTTTGTATGTCCAGAGATTCAATGCAAACCACCACATCTCCACCACTAACTTCTAGAGATGACCCTGCTTGCTGTCAGAGGGCGTTTACTCTTTGTGCCACCATCTTGAAACAAGACAGCTATGAGTGGACATCTTTTACTATTTCTACTCTGTCAGTATAACAAGTGTCATTCCCCCGCCAAGTGAGGGGGATGATCCAAAGAAATTACTAGTGAAACCCTGCCTGGAAAGTCCCATTGTCAAAACCATGGAGGTCTGTAGAGAAAGACACAGGACTAAGAAAAGAATGACATCAGGAAAAGTGGCCTACTTGGGAGGTGGAGATCTGGAGGATCAGGCTTGGAGGCCAGCCCAAGCAAAAGTTTATTGAAACCCTCTCTCAACAAATAAGCCAGGTGTGGTGACCTGCACACCTGTCATCCCAGATGGTGGGTGGTGGAGGTAGAAGCATGGAGTCTAAGGCCAGCCCCAATTTGAGATCCTAAATGAGAAACAACTAAAGCAAAAAAAAAAAAAAAAAGGGCTGGGAGCATGGCTCAAGTGGTAGAGCACTTGCTTAGCAAGCCTGAATTCAAATCTCCCCTCCACCCCAAAAGAAGACTGACCAGCTAAACTACGGAACACCCAATTAAATGTGAATTTCAGATAAACAGCAAAGCACTTTTTAGTGGCTGTCCTGAAGTGGACTGACTGAATGTCCATGCTGTTCTGCAATCGGTACATGGAAACCCTAAACCCAATGTGTTGCCATTTGGAGGTGGGCATTGCGAAGATCATGAGATCGGTGCCCTGAGAAGAGGGGCCACAGAGCGGCCTCCCTCTCTTTCCACCATGAGAAGAAGTGTGCCCCTGTGACGCCAGAAGGCTGTGCTGGCACCATGATGGTGGACTTCCCGCCTGCTATGTAGCCCAGGCTGGTGTGGAACTTGCCATCCTCCTGCCTCAGCCTCCCAAATGCTGAGATTACAGGTGTGCATCACCATGCTTAGCTAAATGTTATTATTTGTAACCACCTAGTCAATGGTACTTTGTAACAATAGCCAAATGGACGACATGTCCCACGTACAGCATGAAACATACTGATGCTCAGAAAATGATTTGTTAATCTGACATTCAGTAACTTGGTGTCCTGTGTTATTTGACAAAACGATTCATATTACCAGCTCATTAATCAATAAATTGAATAAATAGACGAATGAATGAAATCATGGTGAGATAAGGAAGTCTACTTTTTTTTTTTTTTTTTGGCAGTACTGGGGTTTGAACTCAACGCCTCATGCTTGCTAGGCAGGTAGGCTCTACCTCTTGAGCCACACCACCAGCCCTTTTTTGTTTTATTTCTCAGATAGAGTCTTAAATTCTTGCCCAAGGCCAGCTTAGAACTATGATCCCCCTACCTCTGCCTCCTGTGTAGTTGGGATTATAGGTGTGCACCACCATACCTAGCCTGGAAGTCTAGACTTTTAAAAATCAGCTCTGTAATGATTCTGATACCCACTAAAATTTGGAAACAGTTTCCCCTAAAATTCTACAGTCCTGTCCATCTCAGATTTTGATATAGTGGAAAACTGATAACACGTTAATATCCCAGTAATGCCTTCCCCTCTCCCACAAGCTATAAAGCATCCACAAATCGTAACAGGTACCAGGGATGACTGTTTTAGCAAGGTTGGGCCCATACCCTACCTATAGGTGCCAAGAAATTGCTTAAAAGGCAAATTTTTCAAAAGTCCTGGCTTCCCTATTGGCCTACAAAAAGGGCCTGGAAAATAGCCTTTTCTCTCTTGAAGTACAGGACAAAAGGCTTCCTGGTTTCCACTAGTGCATCTCGAGGGGCAGCAGAGTTAGGGGAGGGCAGGGAGGCTGCCAGCCTCCTTCGTAGCCACTGAGGAAGGAGGCTGGCCTCTTCCTTCACCCTCAGTGACCACCAGAGGCAGAGCACTGCCCGCCCACATACCGGTTAAACATTACCCTGTTAAGTGTGCTGTGCCCAGGGTGTGAATGTGTGTCAACACTCAGGTGGGGACACCTCACCTCTCAGAAGCCCGGGGAATTTCCTCAAACACCTGCCCCTTGTTGGGGATACATGGGGTCATATCAAAGTCCCCAGAGCATCTCCTCAGCCTGGAACAGCAGAAACACCCACTGCCCACTTTTTCTGGTTTGGAAATGTCCCCTGCCACTCAGATGTACCTACTTGGGGACCCTGTGGCTGGGGTGCAATGGAGGGACTCCACTGAGGGGTCGGCCGATAGTTAAGAAGCGGCTGTGGTGCCCACCAGTCTGACCCCAGCCTGGCCTAGGTTGGGAAGAAGCCTTGGTGTGCCCAGTGACCTGAGGCTGCCTGTCTCTGTCCTGGTCACTTTCTCCACCCTGGTCCCCCTGCCAGGGCTTGGCCAGCCTCCCTGGGGGCCTGGGACTTCACAAAAGGCCTGGCTCTAGGGCTGGAGACAGAGTGACACTCATCCCTGGCCTCAGTATTAACTCACAGTGTCATTGCTTCACGTGCTCTTCACTCAGGGACGGGACAGCGGAAAGCCCTGTGCTCCCGGGGTCCACACCCCAGTGCCTCTTCCTCTTTCCTCAGCTCCTTTCTGCAATGCCCTTCTGTGCTTCATGTGAGTGGGAAAGACTTCCTCTTAGCATTGCAGAAACTCAGGTGCCCTCCCCCTCCTCTTCCTCTTCCAAGCATTCATTAAGCACCTTTGGTATGCAGCACACAGTGAGGCCTCAGCCTCCAAGGAGACTTCATTTCTGGAATTCCCATGTGTGCACGGGCTCCAAGAGGGGGCAAGGTGGCTGGGTCCTCCACACGTGTCAAGTGTCTGCTGTGGGATTCTCACAGGTCCGGCTCACACAGGGGTACACCGATCCTAAGCAGAGGGTTCTAGCAACAGTCCTCAGCTCCTCCCCACACCTGCTGACCATGTGCTGGGCCCAGCGTGGGGCCAGCTGCTCTCTGTCACCTGGTCATGTCCCCTCCAGGGAGAGAGACTTCCACAGGCAGCAGTTTACTGTGCTGTCATTGGAGTTTTCATCTCGCTGCCCTCTACACTCGTGGCAAATGCTGTTGGCTTTCCATTTATCAAAGTGACATCACGTATCTCTTCTAAATAAATGTATTTGTAATGAAGTGATTCCTTTTAAAGCAAGATACACTAATTAATAGTCAGGTAGCGTATGGATACAGCAAATGGGGAAGTTAGCATGAAAGACTGAATCTGGGGAACCCCATATCCTGCCATGTGTCCCCAAGAACATTAACAATGCAGGGAAGGGAATGGAGGTGGAGCTGGGGTGACACAGACAGTGACAGGGGCCATGTGGAATCCCCTTCCTCTCAGCCCTCCTCAGGCCCCAGGCTATGACCCACATCATTTTCCCTCCTCCTTTGCACCTCTTGAGCAGACCTGCCTGTGGGGTTTCAGGGACAGCAGGGTTTTCCAGTACTGGCCGCTCTGGAACCTTCTGAGACTCACACCCAAGGCAAATCTGCCAGCCCAGGTGGGTGTGCACTTTACCAAAGAATATTCCTTGTAACCTCTGGTGTAGCCTCTGTCCCTCACAGCGAGTCACCTTCATTAGAAGGGAGAATAAAAGTCACACACATGCTGGCATGGTGGCGCAGGTCTGTAATCCCAGCTACGGGGGAGGGGGAGGCAGGAGGATCATCAGTTCAAGGCCAGCCTGAGCTCAGAAACAAAATAAAAACAAAAGTGGTACAAGGCTTTCCTAGTTTGCACAAGCCCTGCTTCAATTCCCAGTACTTAAAAAAAAAAAAAAAGCCACATGCACTTCACCTATGAAGCAGCCTCTGCCACCCACGCAAGCTGTGAGAACCCACACACCTCCAGGCCCCCAAGTGGAAGGACTCAGCACC